AGTCGGAATATCCTCATCCGCTGTGGGTACCGCGAGCATGATAGAGTAGGCATCCTCGGTTTCGTCCAAGATAACTCCACTTACACGATGTCGGCGGCCCGTTTATGCTCAAGACCGCGCCTAAGCTGCGAATGTCCTGTCCCTGAAGTTGAACCCATCAATCCGTGAGTCTCGGTGAGAATAGCCATCTCAATATGGTCTCTCAGGACTTGGACCTCCCGGGTATGGTCCTCGCCCCGCGTCATCCACGGACATTGAGTCACCAAGCTCCCGGTTCCCCGTCGTCGGCATACTCTCACTCACTCGTCTCTGATGACCAGCTGACTCTGATGAAGATAAGCCAAGTTCCAAACGCATTCGTTCGGTATCAATCGGGGTGGGCGGAGCCATCTCATGAGCGCAGCGGGAGAGGGCTGGATACTACAAGTTCGACATATTCCCAAGAGCCTTGAAGCTTGTAATTCTAGAGTGATGCTCATCAATTCATCTCATTTGACTCTTCGCCACATGTCTGTCTCGAGTTACCTGTTGTGACTCAACGACACCCACGTGCAAAGAGTGATGGTGACGGGTTGCCTCCAGCCTTCACAATACCTTCACCAGAGTCCTCTCGAGTCGCCGTAGGCCGCTTTCTAGACCTCTATTCATCGCTAGAAGTTCATTGAAAGTCTGACTGCCAACCTAACTGTATCCAATGACCATACTCACGCAATCGCTGCAACTTGGTGGTAAGTCTACTCAATCCTCAAAAAAAAAGTTGACCATTCAGCCAGCCATTTCTCCCACGGAACCTCAACTCGGAAGTGAAGTTTCACCTTCACATGACTGAGCACAATATCTCGTTCCCATCATAATCCAAGGCATCATCTCCTAGATACCATGTTTCCACAGGCTTCTCGTTCCGGGGATAGCGATATGGCAACTCCCTCTGGCTCTCCAAGACCTCTGCCACGACCTTGAGGCTCTTCCTTTCTCGCTCTTTCCGCATCAGTGCATCGACCATATGAAGTCGCGTCCCCAACCCCAAGATGCTTTCGCAGTCGGAATCTTGTGCTCTCGCAAGTTCGTATTCAATCTTCTCAAAGGTTTCGATCATGTTAACATACAACAGTATGTAGTTGAATGTGGAGTAAGAGTGGTTCCCACAAATATCGTAGTATAAGTCTCCTTTGATCAGATCGAGTAGTTGCACTCGACTAGGCCTGACGCGATCCCCGGACATGACTTCAACCGGCGTACCGTTCCGGCCGGTGCTGGACTGGTGGGGCCGTGTCTCACCGAGCTTCTTCAACAGGGCATTCCCTCGGGACAGTAGCTCTTCATCGTCCACACCTAAAGCTTTCTTGACGCGGTCAATCAGACTCTTCTCATCTTTGGTCATGCTGTTCAATGGAGTTTTGGCAATCAGCCTTGAAGCGCGGAGCAAGGCCAAACTAGTTCGCGGACTAAGCTCCTTGTCCGGTATCCATTCAATATGCCAATTCGCTTCTCGGTAGACCACCAAATTAGACTTGGTATTGAAGGCCACGTTTCTGCTGACGTCGATTGAGCGATGGTATCCCGCTGACTTTGGGAGGGCCGGCTTTGGTTTCGCTCTGCCATCACCCCATAAGAGCTCTCCAATGCTGAGGAAGGCTTCAGCAAAGTTGGACCGTGGAACTTGGCCATCGGGGAAAAAGCTATCTCGAAACATGTCTTGTAGTACTTGATAGTGAGCCAAAGGCTGCTTTATGTGCCCTTGCTGTACAAGCATGTTGTGTAGATGTATCATTGCCGTCGGTTCCTCGAGGCTGTCCCAAGTGAGCATGCTTGTGCGGTAAACCCTTTCCAGGCCTTCCATCACTCCCACACCACAGAGGTACGGAGAGTACCTCCACATACCATTGGGTCCGGTATGATCAAAGCGGGATGTTGGGAGTATGTCGCCAGTCATTGGCACTGACTGGCCCAGGAAGTCGAACTCTTTGCAAAAGACGCTCACGAAATCCATCATTGGCTGCCTGTGGGCGTGACGCAATTCTGCCCCGTAAAAGTGAGCCATCAAGTTGGCAGACCGAAGAATTCCATTGCTGATCCCCAAGTTCTTGTCGTCGTTTTGAATATTGCTGTCATCCTTTGTGCTGCCGCCTACAGACAGCTCAATGTCGCCGATGTATAGTTTGGTACCGCCTTCGCCTTTGCCTTTGCCTTTGCCACTGCTCTCCTGATTACTGTTTCCTCTGGGTCTACGTCCCAGAAACCCATCAATGTCTCTCATCGGGCCAAGCGTATTAGGAGATCGTGGTCCAAGGACATGCCCCCACCGAGTGGTGTTGGTCCAGCCACATGATATGGTGAAAGCATCGACAATGCATTGTAGCTGAAAGACGCGATGAGGCATGATGTCTTGGAGAACATCCGTTCCTGGCTTCTTCATCAATAAAGAAGTGACGAAAAAAGCGAAGTCCTGAAGACCAAGAAGTGGTTCAGAGCCCGCCAACGGACATTTGGGTAAGTTTTCAAGCCGCACCCATTCTCCCTCACGGCGCTGAATGGCTGTATAGGAGTTGACGAGATCATAAAGCCAGTTGATTGTGTATGATCTTCGCCACTTCAATCTTTCCCTCTTCGTGGTATGTTGTAAGTCTAGCGTGGGATCCCAGTCTTTGATCTTGATAAGCATCTTCGCAGTAGGCTTCCCATCCTCTGACTGTTGATAGTCTTCGAGGAAATCAACGAAATCTCGGTAGGTGCCAAGCAGAATGTACTCTTTCAAATCGATAGAGGTCGTCTTGTTTCCTCCATGCTGACCACCCGGACTAAGTTTTGCTAAGGCTTTGATGAATGAGCCTTGTGCAGTCTCGAGGTTTCCACGGATGATGGCTGCGACAAACGTCTCGTATGATTGTAACTCTGGGCACTCGCCGAAGACTTCCAATTCGGTATCCTAGACCATTTCAATAGCGACTTTAGACAGTGTACCGGCAATAGCACCGTGCAACCCACAGTATGATGCCTCGCGCCAATTATTCTGGAGATAGTTTCTGAGGACGACGCACTCCTTGGCAATTGCGCAAGCAGCCATAAAGGACTCGGCTTCCACAGTGCCATCGTCTTCGACGATGCTGTATTGCTCAATAGGTACCTGGTTTAACAGGGCCCCGGGAGCCTTCTTCGCCTTTTTCTTGCCCTTGCCCCCTCTACCCGATTTCGCTTGGGCTCGCCTTTGGGATCCACGAAGAGGAACAGGAACGGTGTCAGTTGAGTTCTCTCCTGAGCTCTCAAGGCTGAGGCTTTTTAAGTCCGATGCCGAGAAACTGATGAAGTCGGCAAGTTTTTCTGGAGTCAAATCGCTGGTACTCGATCGACCTTGCACGCCTCTTGACTGCTCGGTATCTATCCAGGAATTTCCGCCGAGGGCAACGAAAGTTTCGGTAACGAGTCGGACAAACGTGTCGTGGATCTTGATGTCTTTGCCGTACTGAGGGTCTTCCTCGCTTACGATGCGTCGCAAGAAGGCCAGGTGCTCCGTCCTCGCGTCGATGACGGACCTGAATAGTCGGAATGTAGCGGGCGGTATCGTCTGCATGTGCTTACCCACAAATTGTGCGACCGATTGGAAATCGTCGACATGGATCTGTCCGGTTGTGTTGAACTCGATAGGCGACTCCTAGGCGCCGTTGTCCCTTTTCCGTGTCTTGAAGATGAAGTTGGATGCGTGGATCATCCAGTATGCGAGTTGCCTGGCGTCGCGTTTGTACACGACGAAAGGATTTAATCCCGCCATTACTTATGATGTAGGAGGAATGCTATGACGTCGGCGCCGATGGCAGGCTATGTGATATGGTCTCCCAATGATGCTGCGGCGTTCCATATTAGCGAATGAAAGATGCAGAAGACTCTCATCTAAATGATACATACAAGCTATTCGTATTGAAAATGATGGTTGGGCTGCTAGTTTCAAGCCGTCGACTCCTAAGAAAGGATTGTTGTCGGCGCCCTCTTTGGCGGGTAGTGCTGTGACGAGGAGGGATGCAGCCCCGCCCAAAGATCTACGCAAGAGCTGTGCGAGGACGACGAACCACTGAACTTTCTTGTGCAGCTACGAGGGCACTTCCCTACCATAGGAATGCCTTGCAGGACTGTTGCGCTTGTCAGCTGGATCCCGGGAAGCTGCTAAGCATGTTAGGTTCAGTTTGGAGCACGGAAGGCGCATATCGTGAATTCACGCCATCATGTTGCTACCATCGATTCTAAGGCAGGCCGGCGCTCACTTCATCCCAGGGGCCCATGTTCCTGCTGGCTCTGCCTTACATAAGATATCAACGCTCTTCGATGTGAATACAAAGGTTAAGAGGACTGTTGAGAAAACCCTCCTGAATGCACCATCCACCTAGTCTCACCTGTCGTCCATCGGGCATGAAGGGTAGGTCGAAAGAAGAGCATTCGGTAAGCTTCCACATTTGGCCATCCGCTGCCCTTGAAGAAATGCAAGGGACGGATAGATAGTAAGTTCGGAGAAGAGATACCTTTAAATTAACCAAGCCGCATATACACTGCGAAGAAAAGAATACTCCCCGGCGTCCAGCGTGGAAATGTCACGCTGGACTGATAGCTCTCGCCTGCTCCAAGCTACATAATCATGTAATGCCATAGGGCCATCAACGTCATCAACACCTCTTTGCTTCTATAACCGTCCATGCGTTTCAGAGACTTATTGCTTGGCCTGCTCACTCAACCAAGTCGTCGTTCATACGTTTAGTGATGAAAATGATACCGATGATGCGAGTCGTGTGCCCCGGGAACCAGAACGCCATGTGCCCGATGAAGAATGCAACCTTGCGTCTCCCGATGCTAGATCTCTATGCCTGTTTGCACCATCCACAGTTCGTTTTTTTTGCATCGTGGACTTCCCGTTTCCCAAGTCGTCTAAGTGCGGCCATCGATTACTAGGGCCGCTTCGTTGGTGACATTATACAAAGTCTCATCTTTCTCGTTCATTGGCCCATAGCGACCCGGTTCTACTGTTGCATGATGGGTCTGTCAGGATATAAGCCCTGAACAATGGTCCAACACCACCGTGTAGAGCTGTCCTCATCCTTGAGGCCCCGAAGCCAATTGATACCCTGCGTAATCGTCATGTTCGCTGCCTCGTCGAAAGTTGAGTCGCAACGGCTCTGTCGAATCTGGAAGAGAGTGGGATGCGTCGCAGATAGGTGCAAGAAGATGAGTATGCCGAGGATGTTTTGGGACCAGAAGTAGAGGCAAGGAATCATGCGTTTGTGCTGAGCGGCGGGCGGAAGGATAATGGGCCAGAGGAGGCAAGCCTCTAAAAACCTCTTGGTTGCGGACAAGTCTGTCTCAGTCAAGTTTTCTGCTCGTGTATGCAGCGCTTTGTACACAAAAGGTCGGAATAGTAAGTATTCGAGATGGTAGAATCGGGACCGTAGTATAGCTTCGAGCACATCGTTCGAGTTGGTGTAGAGTGGATCATGTAGATACCCCAGCATGGGAGCAGACTGCAACCCTTCCATGGCGTCGGCGGTATACAAGGTCGGTGGTGCGTAAAAGTGCTGATCAGGAACCTGGGGATCGAGAACAGGAAAGGATGCTTGGAATGCATCCAAATGCTGCGTCCTGTCCCAATGCAAGACGCTGGGCAAAGAAGTGTGCCATTGGTCGAGCTGCGAAGCCAAATCACCAACTAGATCTTCGAGAGAGTCGGCTAGATCAGGCGAATTCCAGTTTGATCTCGAAGTGGATCCTCCAAGAACTGGTGTATATGCATCGTGTCAGTGGGGGGTCAAAATACTGGAGATTTCTTCCGATGAGACATATGGGGAGAGGCCGGCTCGCTGCACTTGCGCCCATCCCAGGGGATCCATACGCGAGGCGCACATCAGCGGCAGACGCAGGTGGCAAAAGACCAAGAATACGAAGCCAAGCGCGGATGGAGACTCCGAACAAGGCGTTATCGACGTACGTCGAACCAGGCTGGGAAGAAAGTGGAAATGGAAATATGGACGGAAATGGAGAGAGGGTCCAAAACCAGGAGGGGGACGACGGGGGAAAGGCAATCCAACTCACTTCTTCTCAGGCTATTGTGGATCTTGACCCCCAGGTTTCGCAATGAAATCTGGTGTAGGAATATCTCACCACAATTAGATCTCCTGTCGTTGTGAATACTTTGACTCAAACTCGCATCTTCGGTATGAGCATAGGCCGAAAATGTTGGTAGTTGCATGCTGGCCTCTAGCTTCTCGAGGCCGGTTAAAGGGAGGTCAAGTTCCAGGTGAAGACCGCTGCAGCAAAGCACCGGTTGTTAGATGATGGATTCTTGTGGCGGGAAGAGCAACCCTTGCCACATTTGAAGGTATACTGAGTAACGGAATGAGGAGTGCAAAATAGCAACGAAGGAGATGCAACAGGAGTCCCTTGCTCATCCGCAAGCTGAGGCTGCCGTGGCCAAAGATCCATGGGTAGAACAGGGGCTGGGATTGGGGGCTCGATGGGGCCAGGAGAGGAGGCGTGGGTTGGGGTTCTCGGGATGGACTGTAAATCTGCGATGCACGTACGTTTCCATGATGGAGCAATACCAAAAGGCGCGGCGGATCTGATCGCCGCGCACTGAGCGAAGTTCGGCAGAGTTACTACAAAGGTCCGTCAGCCCATTTCCGGATCAGCACCTCACCACCGCCATTTAAAGTCTCAGACAGCCCCAGCTGCAGACAGACAGGCCAACGTCATTGTTGCTGCTTCTACTCACCTGGTAATCAACGCACGGCAAGCCAGGGACGCTGATATGTTCATTCTCCAGAACTCCTACGCGAGATTTTGATTCAGCCAAATCCGTCCGGACACTCTTCCCCTCAGGTGTTCACTCACCACATGCCTAGAACAGCACTCATAGTACAGCCTGTCGTTGGTCAAGCCAATTCCGGGTTAGTCAAAGTTTCACACCATACAGGAGGAGGTCCGCACTCCGAGGTGCGGCCCGGGCGGCCGGACCCGGCTCCGGGAAACTTACCCCGCCAAGATATACATCTGGACATTCTCCAAAGCACACTCTGTCATTGAGAATCCCAAGCGCCGCCGTGCTTCGTTGAAGAACAGAATGCCCGGCGGCCGAAATTCCAAGTCGTTTGTTGTCCTGACAGGTTCACCGACAGGGTGGTCCTCGAAGGCCGCAAAGGCACCGCCCGATCCTCCGACGAGAGCCACCTCAGCAAGGGCCAACACTAGACACACCAACGTAGATGCCGCATTTTCCTCGAACTGGCTCCTGATAACGTCCTGTAGTATTTTCTCCATGAAATATTGACGATCTAGAACAGGATGGATCCGATTAAAGGTATCGAAATACGTGTTGACGCGGTCTACAAGCGTTGTGTAGCTCATCTCCGTCAGTCCTGGCAGTGGCCCTTCCATCGGAAAGCCCAGCGATATACGTTCATGATAGCTCGCTGTTTCTAATCCGCCTCGAGGAAGGCGCCGGTCTTGGCCTTGCTGATGGAACAACTCGGACGGAAAGTCGGGTTCCCGGAAGGCGGATTGGAGGTTCGGGATTTTGGGCCGGACGTCTTCTAGCTTCTGTCTCACTGCAGGCCATGCCATCATCTTGGTGACTGCAGACGCATATCGGTATGGGACCTGCTGTGAGGGTTTCGGGGTAGGCCGGCCTTGGGCCTTCAAAGTACTTGTCGATGAAGCGTCGTCGCCACTATCTTCAGACTGCGAAGAAGACGGAACGCTGATCTGCATGTTCTGAAGCTGGGCGAACAGTTGCGGTATTTGACTAGTGTTGTCGTTTATGTTTTTCACGATTTCGAGTAGTTCAACCAAGCTTTTGTCTTTTCTATGGCCAGTTAGCATGTCCAGACTGAGCTGACAGCGTTGCTCTAGGACGTGATCGTCGGCTCGCTCCAGCCCAAGAAAGATGGGCAAAGAAGGAAGCAAATGCTGATCTCGCTCCCAGGAGTCGCGCTAGGGCTGCTGACTTACTTCGTTGGTACTGGGTCTCCGTAGAAGCAGTCAAGCCCCTTCTTCTCGCAGAAGCCACAGGTTGGCTTGCGTTCGTCGCATTTCTGCTTCCTAGTACGACAAGTCGAACATGCCTACAGAGATGTCAGACTGAATCCAGGCCAAAATCGTGTCACGCCTAGAGGGAATAGAAAGAAAGCGACTGCATGTTCTAGCGGATCAAGGTAACGGCCCTTCGCCTTGCCATCATCTACCACTGAGCACTTGTCCAAAGCCCTCGGGGTAATAGACACGAAGACCACAAGGCCAGTCTAGAGATGGTAAGGATAGGTACGAGGATCAGGGCTGAACTTACTATGGCGGCGATAGGGCCACGATCCTTCTTTTGGTACATTCGGCTGGAGCCCGACCCCGTTGAGCTCGAAGCCACAGATTTGGAATCGAAGTTCATTATTCACCTAATAGTGAAGGGGTTCGGGAGGATGGTCGAATCCAGGGGGGTTCGGGTCATTCAGTGAGATTTGGTAGTTGATGTTGAGGCGAAAGGGTGGCATGCTAGGCTAGGCAGGGCGACAAGAGAGACAGAATGGTCGAGACCTGCGGGAAAAGAGGCCCAGCTTAGGCAAATGGTCTGGGGTCGTTGAGTCTGCAGAACCCTAGTGGCGATGAGGGGGCAGCAGCGGCCAGGAGATTGACCCAGGGCGATTCTCGGCCGGGCGCAGCATCCGCGAGCTACTGGGGCAAAAGATGCAAGTTGATTTTGGACGTCGGTGACGAGAGGTAGTTGAGGTGGCTGCGAGGGTCCTTGGCGAGACTCAGATGAGTCCCGATGAGGTTGTCGACCAGTTGAACGAGGTGCAGAGTCCTCGTTCAACATGGGAGATGGTAGGAGACGTGGAACCGGTGCCCGTCTTTTCGACCAAGAGAAACGGCACGGCAGGCGGGGTGGGATATGGGTCTGGGTCACCCGGAGCACATGCCGTGCACCAGTTGTTTTTACTCTCCTGTTCTCTTGCTCCTCGGAAGTGTGTCTTTCTTTCTTCGTCCCTGTCTCTCTGTCTCTCTCGGTCTCTCTTATTTTTGATTTTTTTTGGATCTCGATTTTGTCGGAGAGGAACGTGCGGCACCGCCGGCGCTGCGGGTGGACTCAAAGACTACACCGGGGGACGACAATGCCGACGAATGTTGTTTGTTGACTGCTAGACACCACCGGTAAAAACCGAGCGGAATGTGTGGTACACAGCCTTTCGGATTTGTGTGTGGAAACAGAAGGCTGGCGAAGATGCGGCAAGAGAGAAAAAAAATTGTATTTGATCGGAGTCGTGCCCGACTCCCCGTCACGGCGTTTGTCGAAGAGCAGTAACGCAACCTACGCACTCAGGAGCGGGAAGAAAAGGCTTAGACGAGGGCAACCAGAACGATAAAGGCAACGGCAGCGACGCTCAAACCACGGACATATGCGACGACAGCAAGGCAAGAAGCTGAAGCTTCCGAACAGCCGCAGTTGTAACTGCTTGCTTATGCGCCCTCGATACGAAGCGTTGGAAGAGAGATTCGTCCTGTACAGGAACCCTACACGCGATGCACAATTTCGATTTGCTTTGCCTGGGAGAGGCCTGAAGGGGTGCAAGGGGACGCCGACACGGCCCAGGAGTGGTAAAGTGATGTTCTACTAGCAGGACCAGATCACGAAGCGGAGCCATGCGAGAGAGGGCGTATGTTGATGAGTCTTTACCCCGTTCCACGTCTTGGGGGGGCAGTTATGACCATAATATATGCAGAACTGACCGTTCGAGGCCGCAGGGAATCGGACGCTAGCAACAGCCAGGTTGGGACGACAGACTTGGCTCAAAATAAGTTTCACTGCTGCTGAGGCACCCGAACCCGAATCTAGACAAGGCGAACACGCTTGTCGGTGGTCATCGGCGCGGCGGCAACGGCAACGGCAATAGCAACAGTAGCGTGCCAACAATAGGTAGCGCGGCATAGATGGGTTGGTTGCGTTGAGAACACGGGTATAACGAGATGAGATGCGCCATGAGTCTTGTGAGAGCGATACGATGCGATGGGTTGTGCCGCGCCCAGGCCCTTGGGGGGGTAGAATCAAGAGTCATTGGTTACCATCCTCATCCCGTTCAGCCTGGGTTTCCAGAACAAAAGGAGACATTAGCTTACAAGGGTCCTGAGCTAGTCGACCAGGCCCATTAGTAAGGTGAGTGAGGTATCGAGGAGACAATGTATGGATACATTAGATTTGTGCTTGAGGCGACCGCTCCACGTTTTGCTTTCCCCGCGACATGGCCTCACGCAACCTCCACCTGTTTGGGAACATACGCCAGAGTCGGTGGCTGTGTGTGAGAGTCTGTGTGATTGTGCGCGCGTGCGTGTAGGTATGTGTCTACGGATGAGAAGGAGAGAGAGAGAGAGAGAGAGTGCTTGAATGTATGTGAGTGAATATGTGAGTGAGGGTGAGCGTGTGTGTGTGTGTGTGTGTGGTAGAAACAGCGGAAAGAGGGCATGGATTGCTCCGGCCATCTGCAGTGTCTTCGTAGTTTACCTACCTTACCGTACAGATAGATACCTTGCTTGGTCCAGCAGCCAGCTCCGCCGTGGCAAGGGTCAGCAGGAGGCAGAGACAAGACATTATTGGCGACGGTGACGGTGACGGAAGGTCACCAAGGTCCAGTTTCCTTCTGGCACCTCCCAGTTAGACAGGCCGGTCCGTCTCGGTCGATGAAATTTGCTGGCGTGTGGGCGTGGATGGACGTGGATGGGCGTCTGCCGCGTCCTAATCCAGGTTGCAGGAGAGGTACGGAGTAGAGAGGTAAGGTTGTCGTCTGTCACTAGTACATAACCCGCTTTATCCTGGCGTTGAGCAGCATCCATTTGGTCGGAGCCGGTCCGGGGCCCTGCAACAGAAACAGGATAGCCCCTCCGCGGTAGCGAAGCGCCCAATGCGTGTGTAAGATGGCAAGGTATCGAGTCTCCCGCCAGTGGGCTAGTCGCCCATCCTTTCATTCTTGGGAGTGATGTGCAGCGTCTGATAGACACACATACAAAGTTGCAAGGGCAAATTGTTCAGTAGCCCTTTGGCCATGTCTCTGATGCCGAGCCTGCGGAATAAGCTCACTGGAGCTAGGTACTGGGGGAAAGCATGGGCGTACCGACACATCCCAGTATGTTTTAGTCAGTGCCGGGATAGACCCTTGATAGGATAGGAAGAAGAGGAGGACATCTGTAACAGATTGTTCAGTAAGTAGATGTACTGATGAGAGAGAACAGACCGGAGTGGGTGGGAAACAAAGAAAGAAAGGCCCGACGAGTGGGCAGTGACGAGAGCCGTTTGGTCCTTTGGACGGGATCGAGGTGTAAGGTAAGGTAGGTTGACGGATGGAGGGGGAAGAGACAAGACGGAAGCGATTCATTCCCCGCCAGCTTCCATTGTGTGTGCCCCTCTTTCGTTCGCCTGTCCCCGGGGGCACCGAGCACCCTCCTAGCCTGTTGCCATCTCTATTGAATGTGATTGAACAACAGGCTGAATGGACGTTTTGGGGCCCTATTCATCTTGGCTGCTCATGCGTAGCCCGTCGAACAACCTTCTTTGATATCGTGGAAATCTTTTGACGCAGGACGGTGGAGGCAAAGCGAGGATGTTAACCGTATATACTGCCGAGCTGCCCGAGATTCTATACGCATAAAGAACGCCACAACCTCTGCGTTTAATGAAGAGATAGAGAGAGAGAGAGAGAGAGAGAGGAGAGAGAGAGAGAGAGAGAGAGAGAAAAGCCATAAAAGTCCACGAGGTAGTTTGAGAAACGAGAAAAAGCCACTAATTGAGGGCGTACTGCGAGCTGTCCGCTTTGGGTCGGGCCTCAGTTAATAAACCAAAGCTCAGCAGTGCAAGACAGGCGAGTTGGTGGTTTTTGGGGGGAAGACGAAGTTGGATTCGGGCGTCTCTCAATACGTCACCCCCATGCGGCCGTGACGTTGTGTGCACCCTGCATATTCTGGACGGCAAAAGAATTTAGCTACGTCACCTTGCTTGCTCCTGCCTGAAGCGCAAATAAAAAAGGGGGCCGAAAAAAAAAGAGCCGTTCAGAAGACGGCTTCTTCCCTGTGGGAGAAATGTTACTGCAATGTCTCGTCTACCTTACCTCCCAGTGCACCCTAGATATGCTTACATAAATGAGGGCACATAGTAAGAAGGAGAGGAGAGAAAATGTGGCTTGGAAGGTGCAGGTGAGGTAAGCAGCCACTTCGTTTGAGGTATTCAGGTACTCTGTAGACGGCAGAGTACCTGCCTTACCTTAGGTATTCGTGAAGTAGGTAAGGTACCTACTCCGTATCTTCTTTGAAGAGGCAAGTAAGGTACCTAGGTCCTCCGTATGGAGTACTCCGTACTCGAGAACGAAATCCAACGTCTTATGCGGCATGCAAAGTACCTCGGACATCAGACGAGCTTTGAAAGTCGTGACCTTACCGCGGGGCGTGCCTCATCTCTTGTGTGTGTTTTTTTTCTTCCTTGTGAAGCCCCAGACTTGAGGTGACTTCAAAAAGTGCCGCAGGGCCATCTACCCTCCCTCCCTTCCATCAACCTATGTACATGTACCTGTCTACCTAATTAGCGTGCTGTCGAATAGATGAGATGTGGGCAAGGCCCGTGAGGGGAGGCACTGGGAGGTTGCTTTGCAGTCAGGCAGTCGCGCAGTCTCGCATTGTGTCCGTATTAGTTGACCCTCTCTCTCGCGCTCTCACGCGGGGGCCGAAACAGAGCGCCCCATGATCAATAGCTGTGGAGCACAAGTCCGGGCCGTGCAAGCGTTCAAGCCTCCCAAGGACCCAAAGTCTCCCTCGCAATGTCTTGGGTTCCGACAGAATGTCGCTCCGGCTGGCCCCTCACCACCCAAAATTGCGATGCGTCTTCGGTGAGCGGGGGGAGGCCGGCGATGAGGGTGGACGGCAGTGTGAGTGGGCGGATTGTCTGGGCCGTCTGGTAGGGGGTGTGGGAGAAGGTTCCATCCGAGGGGGCCATCTCATCTGAATTGGATCTGAGCCAGATCTGCCTCTTCCTAATTGGGGCCAGCGTCCTCGCCCGCTCGCAACTCGGCCTCCAATGGCCAAGGGCCCTACCTAACCTAGGGAACCAGCCCGCGCTAGCCTGCTGGTGTCGCTATCCAGTCCTGTTCAATCCAGATCCGGGATGGCTAGCGTGGCTTCTTATAAACCCTCCACTTCTGTTGCCTGAGAAGTAAATCGCGAGAGTTGATTAGGGCCTGCCTGCCATTGAGTTCCATTGACAGCACACACACACGGCCACACACACACGGCCACACACCGTGGGTATGTACCAAACACCTTCACTCCGACGGAACCCAGCATGTTCTCTGTCGAAATGAATGTACCTACCTACCTAGCATCCTCAGGTAGTGTACACTAGCACTAGGTAAGGTA